ACATAATACCTTGTGGCCAAAAACATAAATGGAAAATATATGCTTTCAATTAGGCAAGTATAAACCTTTAATAGTAATAGCATCCTGATTAATAAAGGAAGAAGTAATGGGAGAAAGTCACCACTTCCCAGTCCCTATGGAATAATGCCTAAGAACTGATTCTCAGCTGGCTGCTAAGTGCACAGCACCAGCGGTAAATCAAGTATGAGCTGCCTCCTGATGGAAGACCACCCATCAACTAACTGTTCTATCAAAAATCAGATCTGAGCCCTGGCTGCTGTAGCTCAGGGGATTGAGTGCAGGCCTGCGAACCAGACAATCACAGTTCGATTCCCAGTCAGGGCACATGCCTGGGTTGCAGGCCGGTTCCCTGCAGGCCAGTTCCCAGCAGGGGACACGCAAGAGGCAACAGATCTGATGTTTCTCCTCCTCTCTCCTTCCCTTCCCCTCTAAAGATAAATAAATAAAATCTTTAAAAAAAACCAATTTTTTAAAAAATCATATCTGAATTTGATCAAACCTGTGGCTCTAACTATGAATTCATAGTAAATCACACCATCAAAATGTGGATTGCGGAGCAATCTACATGACAAAAACATCAAATTATTAACAAATAAATTACAAGGAAAAATAAAGTTGGAAAAAGAAACTTTAGATTAAAAAGAGACATTTATCAATTAATTACAGGATTGATTTGAACAAACTGCAAAAGAAATCCTTGAGGCATTTGGAGAAAATTTTATACTGATCGGATATTGGATAATAAATAACTATAGTTCACTTTGGGATGTAATAACATTTTGGTTTTGTTTACAAGCAGAATCCTTATCCTTTAGCAATACATGCAGAAATGTTTGTGGATAAAATGATATGACACTGAGCTTTGCCTCAGTGTGTCCCAGAGTGGGCAGGGGTAGAGGTGAAACAGGATTTGGTTGAACTGACCATTGTCGAAGCTGGTGATGTGTACGTGGAGTTTTCTTACTCCCTCCTCCCACTTTTATATACATTTGAAATACTCCATTACCAAATGCTTAAAATCAGTCTCATAGATATGTGACAAGGAAGTAGTTCAGAAGGTCTGACGAAGCAAGAGGAGCAGAGGAACGGTCTGGATCCACATGAAAATAAGCGGGCCTGTTTCCTACTAGAATTGTGATCTCCACCTAGTCAGTTAGTGTTCTGAGGGACCTCCTCTGAGAACAGCAGCAGAGTAGACCACGGCGGGGGGACCACGAATGACAGAAGCAACTTGGTTTCTCTGTTAAAGCAATTATCGTGCTCCAAACAACACATTTCCAGAGCTGGAAGCTGTATCAGTCATTACCTGGTATGTGTGCCATACTCTGCTGTTTATAAATGTCCCACAAGCTTCTTTTAGTTCATCTTTAATCAGAGCCTTGTGAAGTAGACGCTGTCATCCTCAGAGAGTAGAGAGTAGGAGGCTGGAAATCCCACCTGTAATTTGACTGGAGCCTACATAGCAGCACTGGGACCCAAGCCCTGCCTTTGATGCCCCGATCACTGCTGTTCCTTCCCTACTCCCGACTACAGAAGAGCATTTTTGTCTTGTAAACGTGTGCACGCGTCAGAGCAGGGCTGCAGTATGGATGCCAGGTATGTACTTCTTTCTGTATAGGTGGTTGTTGTGAATGTGAGAATAAGGGGGAAAGTGTATTGGGCAGGAAGATTATCCTAAATTAGAAGGCAGGACAGGAGACAAATACCCCCCCCCATTGAGTAAGCTCCTACTGCATTCCAGGCACTTTGCTGGGGAGGGAGTCAAAGCTGGAGGAGGGAAGGAGTTAGGTTCTCTGTTCCCCCTCCGCCCCCCTTTTTAACCCTTAGCATAAAATGCATAGTATCCACTCAACTGTAACTATATAAAAGGCGGGGTTTTTCTTTTTTCCTTCCTTCTCTCTTTCTGCCCCTCTGGGACTTACCTCTCTTCCAAGATTTTCCTTACTTGGGAAGGTGAGGGGAGAGAGAGAGCACGCACTCGCGAGAGCGGGTCCAAACATGGGCACTCCAAACTGCAGCTAAGGCTCTGAGTGATGTCCCAAACTATGGAGATTGTATGGGGGAGGAACCCAGTGCACTGATTTTGAAGGCCTCTGCCACTTAACGGGAAGATATATTGAGAGAATTAGAAGGTATTGATTTGTATTATCCTTAGATAGTTTTCCTAAGAGAAATGAGTCAGTCATATCATTCCTCAGAGGACTCTATAAACTCTAAGGAGGCAGGGAAAAGTATTTCTAATTAAATGTTCGATGCTCTAACTGATTAGTACTATATCAGATTTGTATACATTATATTCTGTGTATACATACAGAATATGTTGGAGGCCCTTGTGAGATATTAATGGGCTCAAATTTGTGCACACTTAAAAATTGTGACTGAGAGAGGGTCACAAGGTATATGTACCCTTAGGAGTGAAGACCCACTTATTTTCTGGGTGGGATTTCATTGATCAGTAAAAAGGAGGGAGTATAAGAGCCAATCTCAAGATCTTTGAGTCATAGAACATCATTTTTCTATTTTATTTTATTTTTATCTCAAATTTAAAGTTTATGGAAAAAAATTAAAGTTTTTTTTAAAAAAAAAACCTATAGCAAACATTGTTATTACTGAAGAACATTTAGTTGTATTTTGTCTTGCATGACATTTGTAGTCACTGCCACTATTTGACACGGCATTAGAGGTCCTGGTCAGCGCTATGAAAAAGGAAGCTGATTAAGAGGGGTTTTGTTTTTTCAGTAAGTTAAACAAAATTTTCATTCCACTGCTGGGATTATACCCTAAGAATCCTGAAGCACTAATTCAAAAGAACCTATGCACCCCAATATTCACAGCAGCACAATTTACAATAGCCAAATGCTGGAAGCAACCTATATGCCCATCAGTAAATGAGTGGATAAAAAAACTGGGGTACATTTATATGATAGACTACTATACAGCAGAAAGAAGGAAGGAGCTCTTGCCCTTCGCAATAGCATGGGTGGAACTGGAGAGCATTATGCCAAGTGAAATAAGGGGGTGAGTGAAAGGCAAATACCATATGATCTCACCTATAAGTGAAACCTAATCACCAAAATGAAAAAGCAAGCAAAATATAACTAGAAGCATTGAAATTAAGAACAAACTGACAGTAAGCAGAGGGGAGAAAAGAGGGAAATAACGGGAGAAAGAGGGAAAAGAGTCAAAGAACACATTATAAAGACCCATGGACAAAGCCAAAGGTGGGTAGGATTGAGGGTGGGAGGCGGGGGGGGGGGTGGGGGGAGCAGGGGAAAGTTGTGGTGGGAAGATGGAGACAATTGTATTTAAACATTAATAAAAAATGATTTAAAATTTTTCTACTACAGTTTACGGTCATTATTATTCTGTATTAGTTTCAGGTGTGCAGTATAGTGGTTAGACAAGCATATACTTCACAAAGTGGTCCCCCAGTATTTCCAGTACCCACTTGGCACCATACACAGTTACCACTATGTTACTGACTCTATTTCCTTTGCTGTAACCTACATCTCTGTGACTCTTCTGTAACTATCGGTTTGTGCTGCTTAATCCCTGGGCCTTTTTTACCCAGCGCCTCCCCACCCACCCCCACCCTCTGAAACCATTAGTCGTGCGACCTCTAGCAACCATTAGTCTGATCTCTGGATCTATGAGTCTGTTTCTGTTATGCTTATTTTTCAGTTTTGTTCTTTAAATCCCACATATAAGTGAAATAACGAGACTTGTTGAATCTTTGTTCTTACAAGATCTGATTATATCTGGAATTTATAGGAAATCAAGGTGAGGTTTTGAAACAGAACCTCCAATGACAACATTATTCCTCGGGGGAAATGGGACCCACTGTACAGTACCACTTGGACGCAGACATTGTGGCAGAGTCCAGGGTGGCCAGTGTGCTGTTTACTTCATTGATGTAACTTTAAGCATTTCCTGGGCACTGCATGCTGGGTGTGCACTCTGAGATGCTCTCTTACTCTGTGCAATGGGGCTAATGACACCGCTTCACCAGGTTGTTGACGTAAGGCTTTTATCACATTTATTTAGAAAGCAGCGACTGCTGCTTTCTAAAAGGGTCCTGTGCTTTGTGGCTCAACGTCGGAATGCCTGGCTCTCCCCTCCAGCTCTGCGTAGCTGCCATACTCCGCCCTCACGTATGGCGTGGGGAGGATCCTAAGACCCAAACCACACCACAGGTGGTTGTGAGGATCAGTAACAACGGTGATGACAATGAGACCTCAGCCACCACTTGTTGCACATTTCATTTACTCTGTGCCAGGCACTTTTCTTAACCCTTCTGTGTTAGCACCACCGTGCTTCTGTTTATGAACACCCACACTTACCAGAACAATGTACCAAAAGATCCTTCCGTTTATGAAAGGTTTCATTTTAAGACTTATCAAAGGTCAGGCTAGCAGGTAGCAAGCTTTTTTTTTTTTTTTTCATTTTCATTTTCAATGTGAATCCATTTCTAAAATCTTGATTTCCAGATACCTATTTCAAGAACGTGCCTCTTGTACAAGGCAAAAGAATCCTGTTTATAACTCAGAGCCCAAAAGATAGAGAAAATTCATGGTCTAAATCACATCCAGCTTTGCCTGCTCCAAGCCCCTGCACCGAGGTAGCCCCTTCCCTCACTTCCTGTTGCTTGTGTTAATGCTCACAGTGGAGGCCAATTTCGGAGTTGAGTTTTAAAGTGTGTGTGCTTAAAAAGCGTTGCCTTTTCAAAGTAACCTTTGCGTTAAGCCCTGGAATCTAATTACTCAAGTGTTATTTGCCTCCCCAAAGTACCCATGCCTGCGCAGATTGAGTTTAAAGTTCAGGAAGTATTAACAAAAGGAATCAAAGCCAGATCTCTAGCCCTTTTTTCTGAAGAATCTCCCTGTCTGTGCCTGGCCTCTCCCTCCTCCTGGGTGTGCCTGCCTGGGAAGGCCAGTGAGTAACCTGCACATTTTTTTTTCCTCTTGGCCCTTCCCACCCAGACGAGAGGACGGAGTGGCAGACAGGCAGGCAGACGGCGGTGAGTCCTGTTCAAGCATGCACGGAAAATACCTCCACCCGCACCCGCACCCCGGACCCCTCGCCACCCTCACCCCACTCCAGAAGGAGCCAGCACCCCTGTGAGGGTCCGGAGGGGACCTCCACTCCCAGTGGTAAGGGCTGCCAGCAGCTGGACCACTTCATTCATTTTATTTGCTTTTGTGTTGGATTTTCTCTTCTGTTGTGGGTAGATGGGAGAGTTTCTGATAGAATTTAAGGTGTTTTGTTTGGTTTGATGGGTTAGTTCTCAGTTATCCCAAGACAAAGAAATGTCTTTCTCAGCAGGATTTATTAGAACTTGTAACCCGATAGCCTGCCTTGAAATAAAACTTAATGTACTAATTACCTCTGGTTAGCTCAACTTACCCTTTTGGCCCTGTAGAGGGGGGCGGGGGGGACCCTAAAACTTTGCTTATCAAATAGTTTTGAAGAAGGAGAATTGCGAAGGATTGTGGGCATTTTATGGGCCTCTCTGACTAATTGAAAAGTAGCCCACTTTGTTACCATAGCTTTAACATAGACCACAATGACGTTTTGTCTCAAAACAAAACAAGCCAGGCGAACAGAAAACCCCCTGTAAAAGATTTATGCATTGAATGAAATATGCCAGCGGAGGGGTTTCAGTGAAAGAGTTTAAAGATAAGTTGTTCTAATTAAATGTAAATGGACATGGAAGTATTGAATTAAGTTTGAGAAGAAAAAAGTCAGTTGCTGAATGTGGGATTCATGTGGTATTTAAGAGAGAAAACAGATCTTTGTATAGTGTGTCGAGAATTCTCTGCGCGAAGGGTCGGAAGGCACGTGGAGGAGGCTGAGAGCAGGTTTGGTGTGCGTGGCCGGTGCCAAGTCTTCTCTCTCCATTGCTGTGGGACAGAGTAATTCAGAGTCATCAAGTGCTGCATTGTTAACAGGCTTCTGATTTCAATATATTTATTCTAAACACAAGCGATTGGCTGCACGGGGGCATGGGAAGGGATACGACTGCTGCCTCTGGTTGCAGGCCTAGCCCAAACTTTCATACCTAGGGAGAGTTCAAGAAAAATGTAGGCTAGATAAGGCTATGCCGTGCTGTTAGTTTGATACTGTGCTACCACACTGCCTTGGACACTACTGTTTTAACAGGCATTAGGTCCTGATCACATTAGAGGGTGGAGATGCTGAGCTAAGGAGTTTTACAGGAAAGTGGCACAAGAAACTGCAGCAGAAAGTGCCCAGACCAGAGGCAACCCCCTGACACGTGTGAAAGTTTGGCCTGTGCCCAGGTATCTCTGCAGATGCAGCAGAGGTTCCTTCTGGGTACCGCTGTGTGGGTAACTTAAGGATTCTCTCTATATAAGGAGTAAACTGCACTTACCATAGCCAGGTTTTTAGAGCAGCAATAAACACTAGCCCTAAAAAGTGGTGTACCAAAAAGGGTATGAAGGACACAGGCAGGAGGGTGCAAATCTGCTTCTTAGATTCAGGAAAGTACAGTATTTTGTGGTTGTTGAAATCAGCAATTCTTCAGCATTGCCACCATAATGTTCCTGTGGGGATAATGCTTGTAGTTTGCTTTCTTATAGTTTAAGTTTCCCTTTGGCTAATAAATCAAAAGCATAGATGGATGGCAGCCCCATCAGCTAGCTCTTTAGAAAGACATCCATGAATGATACCTAGTTTGTTGCTGAGTGAGCAAGAGATGGGATGGGAGGCATTATGATTTTGCTGGATATGTGAGGTTTAAATCTGTGGCTTTTTTACAGTTATAATTGGAAAACAACTGGACGTCCCTTCAAGCCACCCATGGGGTTAACAGTACTGATAACTGCTGCCCCTCATAGGCATATGCACTTTGCATACTGTTGCCTTACCGCATAAAAACATTGTCATCCCCCCCAAACCCACTTCTCTCCCAGCCCCCGTGCTCAGGAGTCGAATACAGTTGAGAAGAGTAAGAAGTGCGGGCAGCGTTTCCTATTGCTGGCCTGTTCTGCAGTTTCAAAACTTCCTAGGTTTCTTCATAAACTAAATTGAATGCAGTTTCTTCTTAAATTTGGCTTTTTTGAGGCATCTTCAGATGAATTTAGGATTTGTTTTTTATTTCATTGTGTTTTTCATCCATCCTTTTTGTTTAGTTTTTCAAGCAGTGGTTCAACCGAGCAGAGTGAAAACTGGCCTTACAAATCGGAACCAAACTGTGTACTTTTGACAACCTTGCCTTTGAGCAGCATATGGTCTCTCCTCCCACTCGCTGTATCTCTTCCAAAGAGCCACCAGGCACTACCCAGCCACGGCCACTTCTCTGCCATCCTGTGTTTTCTGGCTTCTGGAATTCATTTCTCTACCACCCCCTGCTGCCCCAGACTGCACCAGGAGGTGTGTAGCGAATTTAAATGCAGCGAACCGAAAGGTCATAGTGATTGAAGAACAAGAGCAAAAACCCCAGAAAGCAGAACCTTAGTGGTAGGGATGCCATAATAACTGTGCCTGCACCACAGCCAGGCTGCATAGCAGGGCCTGGGTCAGGGAAAACAGCTGTGAGTTCAGCCGCCATCACTTCAGTGCATGTCCTCGCAGTGACAGTCAGGGCAAAGGTGAGTGAAGTGGGCAAGTGGAGTGAAGAGGGAGCTGGTGGCTAAAATATAATTAGCCTCAGCCTAATCTTCAGTGAGCTCCAGTTTCCTGCTCCTCGGGGCTTTTTGTGTTATCTTTTTCCTGTAATATTTTGTATGATGTATTGGTGCTCCTCGTGTTAATGCTGTGGGCCCCTTGGAGGATGTAGCCCTGATGGTCATTCGGCCACATTTCACTGTAGGCACATCCTAAGCCAGAAAGAGACGTCACAGAGACACTGCCCCGAACAAATCCTCATGAGGATGGCGTGTCCTTCACATCATCTTACAAAACCCCAAAGGACAATATTAAATAGGGCTGAAAGTAAATAGATTTCTTTTGCTGTAGCTTGAAACCAAGATCTTCAGGATTAAGTAAGATGCGTTATTTGTGCAGGCAGGAGTAGAAATGAGGAGTAGCCAGTGAGACTTCAATCCGATGATTTTATAAATTGTTGAAATTAGGGTGAAAACTTTGGCCCACACGTAGCACTCATATTTGGCTGCTGGTGCTATTTTTGTCCCATTACTTGGGTGTGTAATAAATTGGTTGCAAAATGGCCCCAGTGATTCCCCTCTTTGAATCTAGTCCCTTGTCATATGGCTTTGTAGCTCCTCTTACCAAGAGGTAGTCTATTTTCCCTGCCCCTGAACCTGGTCTTGGCCTTGTAACCTACTTTGACCAGTAGAATGAGTAGAAGTAAAGGTTTGCTTTGTACTGGACGCCGGCCTAGGTCTTAAGAGGCCTCACACATCTCTGCTTGTTCTCTTGGGATCTAGCCCAGTCACCCTGTGGATACTCCTGGACTTGCTTGCTGTGGCCTAGAGACCTTTGTCACCCCTAGTGACAGTAATCTTATGCCAGATATGTGTATGAATGAGGCAATCCTAGTCCAGCCAGCTGACCTCAGATGTGAGTCCAGCAGAGATCAGACTGACCCAGATCCACAGAGCAATAATCATGAGCAATAACCAACGTTGATCATTTTAAGCTACTAGTTCTGGAATGATTTGTTATGCTCACAATAACTAATGGGCATATGTGGTCACCTGGAGATGGTCCTTCTGTATTCATCTTTGGGTCAGTGTCATAATAAATGCTTAGCACAACTCAGGATGAGATTTTATCCCTAGATGAAGGGGTTCTATTGGGGGGGGCAAGTCTTATGATCATCAGTATTACTTTGAGACCTTTTTTAATTTAGAAAGTACTGGTGATTGGCTAGGATTGAAAACAGATAATCCAATAGTCTTGTCAGTCCCTTCCGTTATTAAAATAGGCAATGATTCCAGTTCTTCTTTACTTAGGCAAACAACACTCAGGCGGTTCAGAGTTCATTTCCAACTTGGTACACTTCCAGTTGCCTAAGTGAACCATGTAGTCACTTTTGGGCCAAAGCACATTGACCTGATCCTAGATGGGAAAAAATTCACAGGTGCAGATTGATGGCTGGAATTGTGTGTTGCTTACCACTGTATCCCCTGCGGTTTAGAACATTGGTGTGGCTTCCATGAAGATACCTTAAGCATTGGGGATATGATAGGATCCTGCATAGAGGACCTTAGAGTCTAATGGGGGGAAAAATCAGAGATCCATTACTTATGTATTAAGAAAACAGAGCAAACAATGTTTTAACCCTGAAACTGCAGGTGAGTTTTTACTATGGTGGGTCTGTCAGTGAGTGAGTGTATCAGCTGTTGTTACAAAAATGCCATGTTACAAACAACCACAAAATCTCAGTGGCATACAACAATATGCTTTAATTAACCCATATGTCTGCAGGTTGGTATGGGGAGGGCTGGCTGATCTTGGCGGGGCTTAGCTGGGGTGGCTATACTCCATGTGTCCCTCATCTTCTTTCTGGGACCAGCTGTCAGCTCCGGCTTATTCTTCTCATGGGTGGCGGCAGAGACACAAGTGCACGAGCCTCAAAGTGCAAGCTCATTTCGTGCTTCTGGTTATGTTGTTAGTCTATTAACGTCATGTTGGTCAAAGCAAGTCACATGGCCAAGTCCATTGTCAAAGGGCAGGGAACTTTATATTTGCAGAAGAAACTGCAAAGTCATGGGGCAGAGGTCATGCATGCTGAGACGGCTGAAGATTTCGGGCCATTAAGGTAAGCCATGGTGGAAGAGGGACATGTGGGGGAGTTTCACTTTCTCCTATTCAGAGAAGCTGGTGAGTAAAGTCATAGCTGGATCCCAGAGTAGCCAAGAGGCAGAAATTGTCCATGCTATGGAACCAGCCTGTTCCTTGTAAAAATCGAAAAAGCGCCAGACTCTTTGCTACTATGATCTGGCTAATGGAATTATAAAGGGAAGAGAATTCTAGCAAGTACAGGTATAGAAACAGCACTGGAATCTCAACAAAATGCCTCCATTTCCGTTCTTACACCATCCTCCAGGAGTGGAGTCTTTACTTCAGATTACACAGCGTTCCTTTACTATCGAGACTTCTTTCTGGGGCAAAGAGAAACCAATTTCTGTCAAGTCCAAATATTGGGGACCGTTTCCCAAACCCT